GCACAGGAGTCTCGCCCTTGCCACGCGGGAGGGGGAAGCGGGGGAGGGCCCACTGGGAATTGATTTTGGAAATGCGCCTTTGTTCTGCCTCGCACTCCCCCGCGCCGCCCGCGCGCAAGTTGCTCCCGGACGGGCAACATCGCAGGTAAAGCAGAGTTTTGGGTAACTTGAAGGATGCGATCGTTTTGCACCCTTCGGCTTCAGCGATGTGGAACTTGACTTCGGGGTGAAGAGGCCTAAGTAAGATCCGGCTGCAAGGCGCCAACCCTAAACAGTGGAAATAAGTTCCACGGACACCAACCCGACTTTGAAGGTTTAGGATCGTGGTGTGAAATGTGCTGGAGTTCCGGAAGGTGCTCCAGCGGAAGGTGTCATTTCAGTAGCGGTTTTAAGGACTGGTGGGGCCCCTCGGAGCCCCCTCTTCTAGAAGCAAGCGCAACTTATTTCGGAAGGTATAAGGGTTTCCTTTACACCCAGCCTAACTAGATAACGTTCTGTAGTGCTAAGAATTTTGCCTGTCCCAGTCCCACTCCCAGTCCCGCGTTTATGCTTGGGCTTTGCTTTGTCTAGGGGGTCTCGGTTTGGCTTTGCACGCATTCTTTGCACAGTTCCTACAGTCGCAGTGGGGGCACGAGATCCATCCGTGCTAGGAAGGGAAGTGCGAGGGATTCCTCTTTTGTCAGGCGTCCGGCGTTCTCAGGCGCAGAGTATCCCGTTAGACCTGCACGAGTCCGTTTAGAAACGTGGATCCCACATCATTGTATGGGGTTAAAATGCCATTTCGCCCCCACTGCCCCCTCCTCCCCACTGCCCCTCTTTTGGCGAGAGATAAAAGTCTCACTAGCTCGGGGCTTTGTGTCGAGTGGTGATTTCATCAAATGTCCACTCAGGGTTGGCACGTCTGGGTGTCAAGATGTCTCTTGTTTCGCCTGAAACACCCCTTTCCACAAATCTCCGTCTGTCTCGGAAAATAAACAACCCATCAGCTTCACGTTGGGGCTACCGGAGAGAGTTACAATATACCCTGAGATGGAAACATGAATTGTTTGGGTCTTTCCCCCCGCCCCGTGACCGCCCTGCTTTTTTATCTTCCCTGGTCTGGCTATAATTTTTCTGGCTTCTTTGGTTAATCTGGACCCAGCTGGAGAAAGAACTGAGAAGCGCTGCGGCGCAGTTTCAATTCTGATTCGGAAGCGAGCTTGATCAGGAGCCACATCGATGCCAAGTCGGCACGTACTCAGCCACCACCACCCTGTGGAGACACGCACGAAAACCCCGACGTATCTGAGGCAGAAGACACGCTCCCTGTCCTAGGCTCCGATGGCCAAACTCTTCTTCCGTCTCGTGCGGACGAGCCATCTAACGAAGGCCCGTGGAGGCAGGCGGGCGGGCGAATACAGGGGACCCCCGCCTTCTCCGTCTCCTTCCCTCGCCCCTAAACGCCCGAGGTGGGAAAATTCGTCCCAGTCCTAAGACGTACGCCACGGGGCTTCCGAGGATCGTGTGTCGCTCTTTGAAATGTTGTTGACAAACCGCGCAGGACGAGCGGCGGGCAACAATCCCGCCACGTCTTTGTGGCCCGGCCAAATTAACACGCTGCAGACCCGAGCAAAGAAAGGCTCCGCTTGTGGGAGCCACGTGCGGCGAACTTGCGTGGGGCTGCCGCCGGTTCCATCCATCTCTTGTGTTTGCACACGGGAGTCAATAGCTCAAAAGTCCAAATGAACTCCAGCTCTGTTCCCCCTACACCCACCTGCTCCGCAATCCTTCCCTTCCCTTTCCTCTCCCCCCTCTTTTCTTTGCTTTCTTTTCTTTTCTTTTTTGCGAGGAAACAAAACAAAAACACATTTCTTGCTTACGTTGAATTGTAGTGTTTTTGCAGCCTCATTAAATCCATTTGAAGACAAAAGAATAAAAGCTGCGGCGTGCGGGGGGGGGCGAAGAAGAGAAAGAGAAACTGCAGGGGGAGGGGAGGGAAAGAACAGATAAAGAAAACAAATAAAGCCCTTTAACTAGATCTTCACATAAATGTCACAGTTTCTCAGCCTTTACGATTTGCCTGCTTAGCATAAAAACACTTAAGGACAAGATTGAAGGCTTCGCGTGATATCTGGACAGAAGTCAAACAAATCCATTGCAAACAGACCCCCCTCCCCATAAAGAAAAGGGGGGAGAAGAGAGGCAGAGGCAGAGAAGTGCTTTCCCAAATAATACTAAAGAAAGTGCCTTTCATTGTAATTCATAGACTTGTTCCAAATGCCAAGAGAGAAAGGAGAAGAATGGGATCCCCATCTAAAGGCACAGATGCCCCAGTGTTGGGGGGCAGGGCAGTTGACGGAGGTGGGGGACGGAGGAGGGAGAAAAGCAGCTCCACTCCCATTATTGTGGAGTTAAACAGTGGAAGGGAGGGTTAACCTAATCCATCAAATTGTCTGGAAATTGTGAGGAAAATTCAAAAACCATATGGTCTCCAAGCGGTTCGGCCCTTTTTGCGGTGGAGGCGCACGCTTGTTTCAGCATGGCGAGCCGCAGGAGGCAGAGCATGCTCCATTGTCGCTTGTCACTTCACAGAAGAGGCCTCATTTGTCCCCAGTTTTCATGCTTTACGCTAAAAATTACAACGCCATCCATTTTCAAAGGGGAGAAAGATTGATTTCGCCTCAGAGAAACTGGCCCCCAAAACACTCCCCCTCCCTCTGCAGGCCACACTGTCCCCCCTTCTCTAGTCGGGACCCAGATCTCTTCCACCCCACCCCCACTTTAACTTGGCCACTATGTAGACCAGATTTGTCTTTCTCACATAAATTTTACCCAGAATAGGGAAACACACGTTGATGGTCAAAAAGGCAGAGCGCCCTATTATGGGGAGGGGAGATACACATTAGAGGAACATAAAGAAGGGTTTGAATTCAATGAGTACGAGAGAGGTATGGGATAATGAAGAAAGTAATATTTACCTGCGATGGGGTGTGTTAGGGGGGTTGGTTTTTTTTCCCTTGGACAGTCCTGCAGAAAAATAAATCACCATTTTATGTATTTGTGTACTTCCCTTTTCAGCCCACCCTCTGCTTTATTACAAAAGAAAAATGGTTTTATTGTCTGTATTAATACTGGATGATTCCATCAAGGTTTAGTGATAAAAACTTGATTAAAAATATGTTGTTAGTTGCCAGTTGGAGCGGGGGGGGGGGTTTGCGCACCATACCATAGTCCACAAGAAATACCATTCTAGTCACAAAACATGGATGCAGTGCTACATGGCCCTGATTTAGCCTATAATCATGTTTTATAGATTATATTTTAGAACAGACATGTGTGTGGATACACACACATAACACATGCACACAATGTTTGGTATCTCTCACACACATGTGCATGCACACACACACGCAGACCACTAACCTTAAAGCAATATTATGTGAGGATGTTACAAACCCATCAGATACAATTTTGGATATCCCTTGATCTCTATGTATAGAGTTGTTTATTTGTTCTGTTATGAATTCAGGTTTCTTCTTGACAGTTAACTACATCTCAGATATAGCTAACTTGCTGTACTCCCCCACTGCAGCTGAAAATATAAACTCACTTGCACTATTTCTCAAGTTATGAAAGGAATTCAGTTTGTAACCATGAGCACATGGGCCATCTAAGGATTTTTATTCCAAAGAAAACCTTAAAAGTTAATATTAAAATTGTAAAGGTTTTATTGTATCGGAAAAAGACTTGTCTGTACAACTCTAAGAGACAGGATATAAAGCAACATTGTCCCTGTAACTTAAATAAGCAGGCCTTATTTTTTCCTCTTTTTTACATATCAAAGAAAAACATTTTAAGTCTGTACAGTTATATTTATAGCATTAATATTTCCATCTGTTGATGGCTAGATCTGGTCTTTATTCTTATTAGCAGTAGTATTAGTTTTATTATTTCCATAGCATGCAAAACAATTCTAAAAAAGAGTAAAAAATATGTCTAGATTCTTTTCTTAAAACCACCTTCATATAAAAATACGAAAGGTAGCTTTTTTCCTTTTCTTAATAAAAGCACAACAATAGCAGTAAATGGTAAAAATAGCTTTTAATTGGTAAAATGAGGCAGAAATCTCATTGGAGACCAAGTCTGGGATGGGAGTGGATGGAAAAAGAAAGTATATTTTTTAAAACTTGCACTAGGACCCATTTCACCCCTTCCCCCAGAATCCCAGAAAAATAAAATCAAATACTAAAGTTTTAAGCAAACAACCCAATAAAATAAAATAAAAAATAAAGGTCGTGCATATAGGAAACATGCAAAAACAAAAAAGGCAGGGAAGGACCAATTGCAACTGCTAACCACAGTCTAACTTAAATCTCAGATGAAGAGATTATTTATGCCCCCCCCCCAAAAAAAAGAAAAAAAAACCACTTCCAAAACAACTGTCTAACAAAGCATGGAAGAAGTGGCATTTATTCGAAGTTATGACTTGTTTTATAAACAGCAACTGAAAAATTATATCATTAATAATAAAAATTCAACTCCTCAAAATATGAACCTAGTACTCAATAGATATGCTTAAATATTTATACAGAAGCTATCCATAATTGCACCGTTCCAAAAATGATAGCTACCTGGATGGCAGCCGTTGGGATATTGTTTCTTACTTTTATTATCATCATCATCATCATCATTATCATCATTATCACTGTGATTACTTTATATTGCTTATTGCTTTTGTTGAAAAAAATTTCTGCCTGTATTGAGTTGCCGAGGAAGCTGAGCTGCGGTTCCCCTACAGTCCGACGTGTTTTCGGGAACTGCGACGCAGGCTCTGGAGGGACAGTTCTCTCCTTGAGTGTGTGGAAGGGAGAGAGGAAAGGCGGCGGCGGCGGCGGGCGGCGGGGAGGGGGGAATTTGTCGATTTCTTGGTTGTTTTTGTTTGCGGGGCAAAGGAAGGGCGGGCGCAGGAGGGAGGAGGAGGAGGAGGAGGAGGAGGAGGAGGAAGCGACCGCCGCCAGCACTCAGTCATCAACGTCAATTTCCACGTCTTCGTCCTCCGAGCAGTCCTTGCTGCTGCCCGGCTGGTCCGTGAGAGGAGAGGCCGGCGACAGTTGGAGGTGGCCGGCGCTTTCCAGTCCATGTTTGGGGCGGTGGGTGGGCGACAGGGAGCGCGACTTCGCTCTCCCCTCCGGGGGAGACTCCAGCTCGGCGATGGCTACAAGATCCACTTGGCTGTTGGGTCCCAGTTTCTTGGCAGACTCCACGTCTGCCTTCATCTCTTCCAGGTCCCGCTTGAGCTTCGCCCTGCGGTTCTGAAACCACGTTATCACCTGGGCATTGGTCAAGCCCAGCTGCTGAGCGATCTGGTCGCGGTCGGCGGGGGACAAGTACTTCTGATACAAAAAGCGCTTCTCCAGTTCGTAGATCTGATGGTTCGTAAAGGCTGTTCTAGACTTCCTCCGCTTCTTGGGAGTCTGCCTCTGGCCAAATATAGTCATCCCATCCCTTCCTGCAAACAGGCAGAACAACGCTTTTCAGTCTCTCTCCCGCACCCCGCACACGCGTGGGGACCCGCCACGCGCCACGCGCGCCGCCCGCCCGCCCCCCATCCCTGGCTGAGGGCACAGGAGGCGCAGAGCTGTTGTAAACCGCCCAACGCCCCCCCCCCGCCACCAACAGGCCCCAAAGCAAACACTTGCGCCCGCGCTCCCCTCCTCTGAGTCCCCTCAAGCGCCTTTGAGGATGCTTGTTGCGACTGTGGTTTTAATTTGCACCCAGACAAAGCAAAACACGAGAGCGTCGTCCGTGTGCGCGCGCGAGCGCAGGCAGGCAGGCAGGCAGGCAGCACGCAGCGCAATTCGGATTCACGGAGCCGGGTTCTGTCCTTCCCCTCCCACCACCATGAAAGTAGGCCTAATCTTTTACTCGGCGTCTTAATGGCCACCGAGAGTTGATCGTGTTCGGGGAAATCGGTATAATTTTGGGGGGAGGGGGGATCGACTAAGGGCAATTGTCACACAGATTTCACGCGCGGGTTGCTTAATCTATAAATATACGCTGTTCGGGGGAGGGGAGGGGAGGGGAGGGGAGGAATGGTCTGTGGCATCTTCCCACATTCTTCTGGCACGGCCCAAGGTGCAGCCGGTGCTTTGGCTTACTTGGGAGCCTCTCCGTGGCCTGACACCCCGGGGAAGCGCCGTTCCCTTGGCCCTCGTTTCCAAAGCAGGTGAAGTTCTCAGCTGATGCCCTCCATAAGCGCGACCATCTCTCCCCACGACCCCCCCCCCCCCGACTCATCACTAGCCAGGAGGAAGGAAGGGAGGCAGGGGCGAGCGAGAAGCACGCGAAGGCGCTGCGGCGGTTACCTTCGGCTGCCTGCAGGACGCTGACTTCCAGCCCCTTGAAGGTCTTGCTGGCCAGCTCCTCGAGGGCGCAGAGAGGCGAGGTCTGCGAGAGCAGCGCCCGGCTGGAAAGGGGCAGGGCAGTCGGCGGGTGCTTCTCGGCGGCCGAGAGCAGGTGGGCAGTCCCGCAGATGGTGTAACTTCTCCTGACCGAGGGCTTGTTGAGGATGTCCTCGATGCTGAAGGGCGTCAGAGGCTTGTTGGAGTTGGCCGGCGGAGGCAGGTGGTCCAGCGGGCTCCTCCGGCGCTCCTCCACCGCGGCAGCCTTGCCGTCGTCTTTGGAAGTCATGCTTGGCGGGCGTTGGGGATTCCTCTTCTCCGTCTCCGCCACGGCGCCCCCGTCCCCCTCTCTGGCTCGCTCTTTGCCTCGCGTGACCCCCTCCTCTCTCCCGCTCGCTTTTCTGCAGCCACCAACGCAGAAACCCGGAGAGGAGGCGGGGGAAGGGGGGAAAAGGCAAGAAAATGTTGGCAAACCGCGCAACTTCAGGCCCTCCACTCCCCCGGCGCGCGGGGCTGCGGGCCGCGGAGAAAGGAGGGCTGTGGGAGCCGTCCTTGGACGGCCACGGTTCGCAGTCCTGCCCGGGAAAGAGGTGACCGAGGCGCTCCCGAGCCACTTTATTTCTCTCGCCCTCTCCGCTCGTCTCCGCTGCTATTTTCGGATACACCCCCCAAATCGTCCCGGCTCTGCCTTTCGCCCCCACCTCTCTCCCTCTCTCTCTCTCTGTCTCCCCAGCGAAAAAGGGGGGCTCTCCGCGAGTGAGGGAAGAGCAAAGAGGCGCCCGTGCCTCTTCCTCGGGCTGGGGGGAGAAAAAAGACGGCGAGAGGCAGAGGCGAGGTAATTGACTCTTGCTAACAAGTTATTGTTGATTGGGAGGCGATCCCTTCGCCTCAATGACACTTTTCGCCCCCTCTCCTCTGCCTGTCTCTTTCTCGCTCGCTCTCAGGTCTGGCCAATGCAGGCTCTTGCAACTTGGTTAGGCCATTAATTGGGAGGCGGGTGGTAGGTGGAGCCCACTTGAATTATAATGTCGAAATACACTTGTCATATTCTGTCCCCACTATTTGCTTGGACGTATATATTTTAAAATTACATTACAGCCTGGCTTTATTGCATCAGGATAATACACTGTGGTTGGAGGAAAAATTAAATAACCCTCCAATATCCCATCAATATTTCCTTCCCAGGGTTTCTTCCCCTCCCCCTCCATCTTTGATTAGGATGATTACTAGCCTTTTTATAAAAATATATTATTAGTAGCACTAGTACTAGTAGTATTTCTTCTAACCAGAGGCAGAAGGAATGAACATACCTCCAGGTAAGGGACATTTTTTGCTGTAAAGCTTATTCTAATCTCGTGTGTGTGTTTTCTTCTTCCAAATTTAGATGCATGTTATTTTTCAAAGTTATGCTTCTAATACTGTGTTTTTTATTCCTCACTTTAAAAAAATATGCTTATGTACACAGCACACATGTGGCTTCAAGGTTAGCGAGCTGCAGAGAAGAGCTAAGAAATAAACTTTTTGTACCGCATTTTGCCTAAACGTTTTAAGCACTGAGTATTGTGTGTACTAATACTGGGAGAGTGGTGCGGTCTTTTGGGGTTTTTTGGGGGGGGGTTTGGTACTATTGAGCTAATCCTATAACACTTTCTGTTTGTGGGTTGCTGTAGCTGTTTTTAAAAAATCAATAGTGACATATTGTTTGATGTATTAGTGTAGGAGTTTGCATCCTAACATGGCGACCTTCTGCTTTTTCTTCTTCTTTAATTACTATAACAAAATACTCGGTAGATGTTAATAGTTCCCACTGCAACCAGTTCCTTTCCAATATTTGCAAAGTGTGAAGCCGGTTGGGCTCCAGCAGGTTGTTGCTATGATGATGATGATGATGATGATGATGAAATTTTCTGTATTTTAGATAAGGTGGTGTGGTCACAGAGCTGGGCATAAGCTGTAGGAAAATATATCATCACTGGTAAAACCTAGAGGACAGCAGAGGGAGAACCAACGAGATCGCACGGTCCCCCTGTAGCTCTAGCGAAATCCTTCTCTGCTATAATTCAAGAGCAAAGGGCCACCAAAGCACGGAAGAGACATAATTCATTTCCCTTAAAAACTCCAGATGATCCTGACAAGAGTTTTTTCCCAGCACCTCTCCCCCCCCCCCTCCCGCCCCCATGGCTGCTCTCGAAAGCTGAAACAGAAACGCTGCGCTTTGGCAGTGGAGGGCTCGGAGACCAGCGCGTTTGAGGGATTTCATGTTTTTCTTAAAGGGTCCCTGAGAGCAGGGGGTCGCTAAGAATCCAGTGGGGTTCGGGAGGGTCAGCTTGGGGGGATGGTCTGGGGGTATGTGGGGGTGTCCCAGAAATAACCATTTTAGTTCACCGATTCTTGCTTTGGGGGGAGCTTAAAATATTAAAGCGTCACGTCCCCAGTCAGGGCCGCTATTACCAGACAGCCCTTCTTGTAACATCGACACCCGCTTATTCAATCGGGAAGGGAACCGTTTCCAAGATGGGAAAACCAGCGTTAAGGAGCGCGGCGGAGGGGTGGGAGGAGGCGACATGCCTCCTTTTCAAGGCCCTTTGTTTATAAACATAGGAGGCTGTAGTCATTTCAATGGAGCCCGTGGCATGAAATAGGATTTTGATCCCTACCGACACCACCTCTAACACCAGGAGCCAAACTCGCTCCCGCATCGGTCAGGTCAAGCGCTGCTGTGACGGAGAGATGCACTGGCCGTGTAAGCACCGGTGAATTCGGAGCGGGACTCTTCGCAGCGGCTGTAGCACCTTTCTGCAAACGCTTACCTGGAACCAGCCACCCCGCCTCCCCTCCTGGTGCTCCCCTCCCCACTTCCCATCCCCCGAAACCCCTCTGTCTCTCCGAGACTGTAGTAAGAGGAAATATACAATCCTCCAAGCCCCCTACCCATTTATTTATTATCTGTCCCTGAAACTTCATGTCTGAAAAGCTAAAATTCAATAAATCTCTCGAACACCTCCTCTCTCAAAGGCGAGCAAAAGCACGCATCCAATATTTTAACGCGGCTCTTAAGAAGAGGTTTTTCTGATCTCCCCGGGTCTGTATTTGACATCGATAGCAAATATTTAACTGCCGTTATAAAACATGGTATCGTCCCCGGAGGAACAAAGAAACTGACCCCCCGCCCCCCCCCCACACACACACAACGACTGAAAAAAGACACAATTGCAATGTAATCCAAACGTTCCTATGCAGACAGCACTTAACGCGGATTAATTGCTCTTCCGCACGATTTGATCCCGCCGTCGAATTTTCAATCAGCTTGGATAAAAAGTGATGAAATGAGAAAAGTTCCCATAGTGACCGATTACGGATGAGGCGTGTGTGGAGGGGGGATGGCTGAAGGCATAAAACAGATATTATGCCGTGATTATTCTGTGTTAAGTAATGTGGCACAAAGGGTTAAATCCGTGGTGCAAAGAGCGGATCGTTATTCGCCATGCCCCCATGGGGGGAGGATATGGGGACTCCATTCTTTTATCCTCCCCCTCCCCTAAAACAACCTGGGCGATCCGGCCTTTCATGCCATAGGGCCAGCCGCGGCAGACAGGGAACAGACTCGCCTCCCTCCTCCGCGCTCCTCTCCCTCCTCCCCCGCCCGTGTCTCCCATTCAGAGGTGCTGTTTGTTTGTCTTCTGCTGACTGCCAGACAACAAACCACAGTGAAAGTCAAAGGGTTTCTCTCCTTAAAGCGCCCTCGCCCACCTTTTTTATTGCCCTCTGGGAGTCTCTTTATGCAGTGACCTATTTTTAAAGGCCTATATTGGGTTATTCATCATATCAAATACTGCGAGGAGATTAGGGGAAGGGAGGGATCACACCGAATCTAGACAACGCGGGTCCTCGGCTGGCTTCGCCGCGAGGGCTTCCTTCCTTCCTTCCTTCCTTCCTTCCTTCCTTCCTTCCTTCCTTCCTCGCGACTTGCTGCCTTGGTAAATGCTCGGGACGCTCGCCCGCCCGCTCGCACGGCCCGCGCCCGCCACCGTCCGCTGCAGTCGCGCCTGGATTCCTCCAGGGCGAGCGGGCGGGCGACGTTCACGCTCTTCCGCAACGGGCGCGTCACTGCGCGCAGATCGGCCGCGACCAGACGGGCCGCCGCGCTGGGAGCGGAGGGCTCTCGCACGCGTGGCCCAGCTCAACGCCGAGGAAGGAGTGGCGCGCGTCCGGTCCAAGCGGACCCCAGAAAGATCGGCTCCGGCTTGTGCGTGTGGCCTGGAGCACTTCTGGTTGCGTTCTGCATGCGCTGTGAATCTCCTGCTACAGCGAAGTGGGCCTTACCCTCCGCAATCCGGGTGGGCAGTTGTCGAGGGGAGCCACGTCTCTGTCTGTACCATAGATGACAGGAACGCACATAATCGCATCTGCCCTGCGGTCAGCTTGGGAGAGGTTACACAAGAAACCTTCCCAATTTAGCCCTCAAGGGATCTGAAAGAATTTGAGTCCACTTAACGTGCACTTAGGGTCAGGACGCCCTATTTGCTTTGCACGCCCTTTAAAATAAATAGACCAACTTTCTGCACGTGCCCCAGGGACCCGTGGATAAAATAAAGCAACCCCCTTTTAAAATAATAAGAGTAATAACCAGAAAAAAAAACATACATTCCACCCACATCACCCTAAAATATTACAGGTATTTAGAATATTGCTACACTTTCGTTCTCGCGAGACATCTTACAAGCACGCGCGCGCTCATGCGCACAAGACGAAATACCCTTGGAATAATATTTAAAGGATCAGTCCTATGAATTAAAGTGGTTGCACGCTCCGCTCCTCTCTGTGCCTCTCCCGACTGTCTCGCCTTGTTATTTGTGCAAGCACGAATATAGACCGCCTCACTCGATCAACCTACCAGCCAAGCGAGGCACCGAGCATTTTTTATTTATTAATATATGACCCTTGGATTGTTTGGGCCATATTTTGTTCTGTCCCTCACGTACTTGTTTCCCCATAGTTACGTGTGTTATATGTGAATAAGGGCTCGAAGAAACGCATCCGGAAAGACCGGAGGAAATGTGGAGATCCTAATGGGGCATCACCTAGCGCCGAGAGTAGGATATTGGCAATATTGAAAGTTCTGGGGAGAGAAGAACGTGCCCGGGCCATTTGCATCATTGATTTTAACTCTTGAAAGTCTGAATGCCGTGCGCGCGCGCGCGCCCTGGTGAGCGTTTAAATCAAGATCTTGCCAAGATGAAGATCGCCTGCGTTCTTATGGGTGTCTCTTTTGCTGAGCGGGAAAGGAAC